ACATCGAGATGGTACAAAGACTTTGAAACACTTCTGGCTTTTGTATAACAAGGATACACATAGCCTTACAAAATATCTTAAAACAGAAAGGCACACTAAGAACTCTCAATCCTAATTTTGTTGACGCCCTCGCACACGAGTTGCTTGCGGTAGCGATGCATACACGCCAAATAAAGATCTTGGCCACCGCCCAACTGGTGGTTGCTTTTTGTTTCCAGGTGTCCGGCGGCTGCCACATCAGTGCACACTGCGCGGTCTCATCTCCATGTAGTATTACTGTGTTGCTACTCGGCCAAATTAAAGACACGTCTTCATGCACGCTCATTGATGGCAATATTATCGATGATGCTGACGTCGCTGAGAATCATGCAGCAACTGTGGTCATAAACGCTTGCTTGCAGTGCCACTCCCCCGTTCCATTATTCCGTTCTACCTGTGTGCATGCTGACGTGCCACTTGCTATAGTACATTTGTTAGCTTCTTCGTGGGCTAATCTGAAAACATGTCAACTTAATTGATTACTGGGACGGGACGGGTTGAAAAACATACGTAAGCCGGAGATGTAAAAAAGATTGTACCACTTGACTTTACATAAAGTGTAACTTTGTTTAGTTGGGAAAAGAGTGGGGTACAAATACAACTGTGTCATCTTATCATCAACCAGAATTCTTAGTTACTATTAGGATCGGTCCGGCGAAAACAAACTTAATTAAGATCGTTTTTATTCGCAAGAGATAATAAATAACAAAAAAGAGAGGAAAAAACATCTGGTGTTGTATTATTGTCCGGCAAGTGATGGCATAAGTATTGGTTGTGTGCAAACCTCTTGCAGAGGCCGGAATACAAATTCCTTTTTTTCTAAAAAAAAAAGTGATGACATAAGTTACTTGCTCTAGAATCTCTTGGGGGGAGGGGGGAGGGGGGAGGGCGCTTATAGTTAGATAGATGAACAAACCACAAGAAGAAGAGGGAAAAAACCATTATTGTGCGCGGTCCATCTTCTTCTTCTATCTAGAACGATGAACGAGAAGAACGACGTCAACACCGGGCGATCAGCGTCGCCTCCTTCAATTATGCTGGCGACTTCGCAATCACGCCACGTGGATCATCAGAACAATAATGCCAGCCCCGCTTGTTAGCTTGTCCGCTTTTTCATTCGTCTTGTGGTGTTGGTGGATCGAAGAGGCTCTGTCCGATTAGCTCATGGCGTCTGCAAACTCCACGTGGATCATGATTTCAGCTTAATACAGTAATAATACTGGTCGAGCTAATCCGATCGAGTTTTCTCAACCTCAAACGTTTTCCTTGCTCCAGTATATATAAACACTGTCCCAATGCAAACAAACGGAAAAAAATTGAGGCCGGCTACCTTTACTGTGACTGTGATGGATCGACCACTGCACCATGCATGGCCTTGAAAAATTCAGCCTCCCTCGCTCTAGTATCTTCTTCTACTATTACTACCCATTTTTATCTATTTCTCTCTCTCTCTCTCTCTATATTTGCTGACGAGCTGGCTGGTGGAAGCATGCATTTCACATGACTCTTTGACAGCTGACCGATCAACCCGCCGAGAACAGAACAGTGATGAGGCGCTGACTTCGGGTGACTGACTGACAGAACTGAACCCGTGACCCACATGCATCCCCAACTCATCTTCACTTGAGGCCAGGGCCAGCGATGGAGACCGAGAGCTCTCAGCTCCAACTCGGCATGGGCGCATGGCATGGCGTGCATTATTGTTGCCATGTCAGCAATGACAAAGCGACAGACAGTGAGTCCGGTCCGGGCCGGGCCCCTCCAATAATTCGGTGTAGGAGTGAGTAGTACATGGTGGACAGACAGACACGCAGCGCAGTGCCGGGCCCGGGCCGCTGCGTGTCGGGCCCGGGCCCCTCCTCCAGTTAGGAATCGAACAAGATGCAGGCAGGATCCAATCCCTCGTGTGCTCCTTCTTGCAATTGCCCTTGCCTTGTCTGCTTGGCAATGCGCCATTGCCACCATTCCGATCATCGACATGACCTGCCAGCTCATACACTCAGTTCAACGACCCTTTTTTCTGACCATATATAATATGTAGCCTGCATTTCAGAGTTTTACTTATATGTTCAGATGCGTCGTAAGTACGTGTCATTAGATCACTGATGACTGGATTTCCCTTCTCTTTGACACCTTGCGTTGCTTGCGTGGCATTGTATTGTATTGTTTTGCCATGCTCAGCTGAGGAGTCAGCAGGTCAGGAGAGCCATGAGTGCGATCTCCAATAATTACATTTCTTTAAGCACCTAACCGCCAATAATTCTCGGGGCCGGATTGATTGAGCAACCCCCGCCAATAATTCACTTGTTTAGCAAGCTAGGATTCCTTCGCCAGATTCGTGAGTGCAAACCCAACATTACTAGAAAATATATTGGTTTCTGAAAATATATAACAGATTCGCGTAGAGTTTGTTTCTGTGATTCCGTAAGCGCAAGAACCATCTAAATCAGAGCTATCGATAAAAAATATATTGGTTTTTAAAGTTTCAGTTTTATTAAAATAGATGTTATTGTTTTAATAATTATTAAACTAAGAAATATATTGGTTTTTAAAGTTTCAGTTTTATTAAAATAGATGTTATTGTTTTAATAATTACTAAACTACTTTGGAGAATGTTGTATTAAAAAACTTGGTTATTTTCGTAAAGGAAAACGGGCGTATTACGTAGGCATCAGGTGACGTCCTCAAGCTAATCCGTTTATTTTTTAAACTGGAACAGTATTTTAATCAGTCGGCTCGTTTTTTCGGCGAAGCTAACGGCAGCAGAGCTCGCTCCCGGCCGGTGCTTGCTCCGCGCCGTGCTTGCACGGCTCCGTGCCTGGCGGGCTCCGCGGCGAGCCGATTCCGCCGGTCGAGCCCCAGCTAGCCCTTGGCGACGACACCTTGTCCAAGAGCTTCTGCTGCTGGTCGAACGCGAGCAGCTCGAGGTCGAAGTCCAGCTCCCAGCCGGCGAGCGCGGTGTTGAGCCTGCTGCCCGGGGAGGAGGGCCAGGCCGGAATGAGGCCCCGAGAAGGCGAGCGCGTCCGCGGACGCCCCCGCGGCGAGGAGGAGGTGCGCGGCGGCGACTGGGCCCGAGGCGCCGCTGGCCGCCGCGAGGTGGAGCGGCGTGACGCCGTCCATGGGCGACGCGCGCGCGGCCTCCGCCGGTATGGAGGACAACACGTACGCCAGGACCGCTGTGGGCGCGTCGGCAGCCGGAGTGGCCCCCACCCGCGCCGAGAGGAGGTGCGGGAGTCGAGGGCGAAGGGAGCGGGCAAAGGATCGGCCCGCGAAGGTTCGCGTTGGTTCGGGTCAACGATGAAACGGGTACGAGACCCGACCGAACCGCAATCGGAAGGACCAGATTGCTTGCTCGCCCGATCCGACGGCTTGCGGCTTAGCGGGCGACGTGGCACGATGGATTGCCCGCTGTTGGTGCCAGAATTCTATTTGTACAAGAAAACAGCAGCACCAGCTAGGCGCTCTCTCTACTACTGGGCATAGCGAAAGCGTAAATCGATCGGCAGCTTAGCACGCAGCATATGATGAGTGCAGCAAGGAATGAGCATCACAAAAGCCAAATACAAATACAAAAAACTAGCTGGTGGATGAAATAAAACATTGAGCCTGTTCGCTTGTTGATTTCAGTCAGAGCTTATCAGTCAGCCAACAGCGTTTTTCTCTCACAACGGCCCCGTTCGCATGCCCTTAAACTCGGCTTGATCCGCTTATTTTTTTATCCGGAACAGTATTTTTCTCTCACAAATTCCTCCAGCATTCCTCCAAACCATCCAGATTCCTCCAGAATTCAGACAAGCGAACAGGCCCAACAAATCACCACCAGCCAGACTTATCAGCCCAGGAACCAACCACCGAACAGACCACGATCATTTGTCACAGCACCTGTGGACAAGTGGTGGATCTCGACAGTTCTTTCTGAGTTTCTGTCCACATTCATGCATGTTCTTTCAACCAAGCCATTTCTGCAGCTCTGTAATTGGAAGCACCATTTCTCCATTTCAGATTCCGAGGCTTAGGAAACTCACTCACCAGAAACAAGCCCTCTGTTGGGATTTAGCCAAGTTTTATATATGCACATATAACATGGCTACATTTTTTGTTCCCTACCTACATACCTGAATTAGATTGGTCACTTTTCATTTTTGCAGAGCAAGCAGTAATACCGTATTCTGAAAATCAAACTAGAAAGAGGGATAAGGATTATGACCACACAATTTAGTTGTGGTTTCGCTCAATTCAGCTTACACTCTTCATGGAGGCCCAACTCTTTTTGGGTTCCACCAGCCCAATTTACGAATGGCACTGGGCTAGGCCCAACGGGGCCTGTCATCCGATTCAACAACGGCGGCCTCATAAACCCAACCCACACGCAGATTGACATGTTCTTTTTAAGACGTCATACATCTGTGTAGTACAGCAAATATTTCAAGCAAATCCAAGGATGCCAAAATTAAGATATAGGACTGAAAAATAGTACTTCCTCTGTTTCAAACTGTAAGTCCTTTTGATATTTCTAGATACATAAGTTTTACTATGTATATATAGATATATAACAAAAGTCATGTATCTAGAAAAAAACCAAAACAACTCATAATTTGGAATGGAGAGAGTACTATTTATCCCAAGCACAGAACGCTCAAATATTAGCAAAAGCAGCAGGTCAGAGGCACCATATCACATTGATCAACAGATGCCAATTTATTAGGGTTTCACCACCCATGATGGATGAATCAGTTTACAAACACACGCGTCTGGGACATCTGGGAACAAGGAGATACCTAGTCCAAACATAACATGGATCATACTGCTATGACGACATTACAAGGAACAACATTCTAGGAATACAACATCACAAAGTTCAACTAGCAAACATCTGAACAGGGGAGTCCTCAGCAGCAGCACAAGCTCAACTCTATAGTCTGCATGGCATACAACTACAATCATCTCATCACTGATGCACTTCACTTGCCATCCTCCACAATTCTGACGACATTCTTAACACCATCCCTCATCTCCTTTGGGATGGCTCCACCTTCTGGGAGATCAAACTTCCTGCGGCTAAGCGTCCTCGGCTTCCCTGGTGGCTGAGGGTCCACGATCTCCAGCATCCCCTCAAGTTCCTCAAGCATGGATCTCTTTGCATTGCGGACCATGTAGTCTGGTCCCTGTTAAGCACAACGGAAGGCATTGACAAATGAAATGGGGTCATAAGGTCATTGTCTCATCAAATTGTTGCTTTTTGCAATTTATTTATTTGGATCAACACCACAGCAGAGGAACATGATATTCAACAAGAGATCATTAAAGAGTTTCGAGCGCACAGAGAGTGATGTAGTTTCAGTTACACAGTCCATACTATAAACATATATAGGAGGTTCTTTGCAGTTGTGTTCTTAGATTGTGATCCACCACATATATAGACAGCTTATCTAAAGGTGCATGGGATTGTGAGGTGGCTCAAATAGCGACTAAAAAAACAAATGCTTGACATTATAAGCAAATTGATGCAGTGAAAAAATGGGTAACACAGTCGCAACTAAACGCCATAACACTTGAACTCATACCACCAATCCTCCTAAATAGATCACCATGGGATACTAGGGAGAGCAAATTTAATTGTCCGGGAACGAACTAATTATTCATGCCGGACGAAGATAGTCATAGCATATATCATCTACCAATGATTATACAATAGAATCAACTGTGAAAATGAGAAGTCAACTCTATTACATGTTCAATATTTTTTTAGGCAATGCACATGTTTCATGTAAGAAATCCTAGTGATAATGCAGCAGAGCATGTCAACATCTCTAATGTCTGGCGTCCATAACAACTAACAAGGTAATTTGTAGTACTCTAAAGAACATTGCATAGTGTGTGCTGACAGATTCTGGTGTGAACAACCATAAACCATAAGAAGCAGTACAGCAGTTGTCATGCTGAAAGCACAACTGCGTGTGCTGAATTTATGCAGAATGCAAGTCTAATAAGGCGTTGACTCGCGAAGTAGCATCGAACAGATCCAGAATTTACCTCAAGGGCATCAACGGTCAGTAGCAGGACAATGATCTTCTCAGCAAACCTCTGGCGCTCTTCAGTGTCATGTGCAATGTGGCGTCGGTATGAGATGTTGTAGAAGAAGGACCTGATCTCCTTGAGCTTGGCTTTCGCAACCGCGAGGTCGCGAAGGCAACGGAGCACCTGGGAGCGATGGGCCAGGTGCGCCCTGTAGTTCATCTGGATGAGCAGTGCGGCATCCTGTGGGGAAAGTTCCTTCCTCTTGCCCTTGCAGTGGTTCATTTCAAAAGCCTGCATGATGTCAGTACAGGTGCGAACAAGTTCAATTCAGTGTTGTTTGCAGCTAAATCTCAGCATCAGCCTTGCCCTTAAGACAGAAAGCAATGTTGAAGACGGTCTGAAAAGGACATTGACGCCTCACACCTCAATAACACTAACTAACCTCAGCACCCAAAATCCAAGTTTTCCATGGACGGGTTAGCAAGTGAAGCTACACAGATTGGAAATGTCATCTCACATTTCCCACAGATCTAACCGAGCTCGAAACCTAGCAGCAAGAGCTCAGCCCCTAAAGTTAAAAATGAAACCTTTTGTGCAAACATTTGACCAAATCCAGCCCAAACTATAGTTGTCCTACGTCATATCAAGCAGGCAGTGTATAGAGCACAAAGATCTCATCTGACCTTTCTGATGGCGACGCATCCGGCAGTGTTGTCCTCGATCTCGACGATCTCCACATTACCCTTCTTCGTTTTCTGCTTGTCCTCCTTGACTTTCTTCTTAACGTCAGTGGGCTTCTTCTCCTTGTCGTCATCATGGTCATCATCGCCGTAGGTCTCCTCGACGGAGTAAGAGTTGGACCAAGGCTCGAGGCAGCCCTTGCCCTTGATCTCCTTGGCCCACTTGACCTTGGTGGCGCCGGCGGCGGACGCCTTGGACTCCCACTTCCACTTGCGGTCGAAGCCGTCGTGGTGCGGGGTCCTGAGCTCGGCCTCCCACTTGAGGTTCCGGCCGCCGGCGGGCCGGTCCTCGGCGGTCCACTTGACCTTCCTGCCGTGGGCCTCGGCGGCGTAGGTGTACTTGCGGCGCGGTGCGGCGGGGGTGAGGGCGAGCGCGCGCTCGAGGGCGGAGACGCGGTGGCCGAGCGCGTCGAGGAGGAAGGGGTCGAAGTCGAAGGCCGGGCACCGGGGCGCGGCGGCGTGAGGCGGCAGGAGGAGGTCGATGTCGAAGGTGTCGATCAGGGAGGGGGAGAGGGAGGGGGAGGTGAAGCCGAGCGGGCAGGAGGTCGGGTAGAAGGGGTGGTCGTCGAGGAGGAAGCGGTGGTGGGCGGAGGCGGAGATGTAGGGGCAGGACGAGGTGGTGGTGGTAGGGAAGGGGAAGGATGGGAAGAAGGGGTCGTCGTCGACGGCGTGGAGGTCCAGGAGGCGCTGGAAGTAGCGATCGCGGCTCATGGTGGCGGTGGATGCGGAGGGAGTTCGGACTGAGGAGTGGAGCCGCGGCGGCTAGGAGATGCCAAGGGGGAAGAGATGATGGCGACAGGGAAGGAGAAGAGTGCACGGCGAGGGCGAAGACAGAGGCTGATGAGAAGTGACTGCTGTGCCCCTCGCTCGTTACTTTCACACGACGAGTGGACGGGGTAAAACGGGAACGCGACGAACGGAGTGAGTTCTTGGGTGGTCGCCATGGCCATGATGAGGACGGACGGAGAGAGATCCGGCACGGCGCCGCGAACAAGATCCGACCGTGAGACATGGGCACGCAGCCTGGTTTGACTTGAGTACACGGCGACGCTACCTACCTCCTCCAGAGGCCAAAAGCAGAGAGGAGATGAACAGAGAATGTGGGGAATCCCTATGCTATTGCTTCGTGGACACCACATCGGGATTCGAGATGGCAGCCATGTGAGTGGCACGCTTGCTTGCTGGTCTCGTTCCTGCTGCGGCTCACGTGTTCGCACCCACGCAGACCCGGCCAAGCAGAGTGGCAGACAGCACGAGATCCTCAATCCGCATCCTACCTCCCCGGGACCCACCGGCCCAGGCGGGCCATGGCCGAGCAACGGGCATGGCCAGCCGGGAAACAGAGGCCGTCACTTCACGCCTCACGCGCACGCTTGTGTCTGTTGAAGAAGAGAAAGCAGAGCGTGGCCACCCACATCCCAATTTGACGGTGGGCCTCCATCTGCCTCAACGTTCAGCCCCGGCCTGCATGCATTCGTATACGGGCCTCCTTTCCGACCTTCTTGAAGGCATAGCGGCCCAGATATCTTAGCTCAACAAGCCGCCGGCCTGGTCCACCTCTTCTGAAAAGCCCCCACCAAGGCTGAGTTGCAGAGGCCCATCCTTTTTTTTTTCGGCAGTGCTAGTGTCCGGATGGACGCCGCGCTGTGTTTCCCGCGCTCAGGCCAACACGCTCCCGTCCGAGCCCGCGCCGCCAGACCGCGTGCAAGGACCGCTCGTGCTTCCTCCGGTTCTCACGCGCATTGCAACATGTGTAACACCCCGATCTACTTTCACAACGTCCAGATGAAACATTGGCAACATACGTCCAAAACAGCAACATACGTCTGAAACACTTGCAAAACACCCCAAAAAACTTGAAAACACTTGTGTAGCCATTGCAAACATATGCAACACATCAAGATGAAAACGCTTGCAACATACGTATGAAAACACCTAAAACACTTTCATATATATGCAACATCCCAGTCTAGTTTTGCAACATACATTTAAACACAGATAAAACATTTGGAACATATACTTGGAACATAAGCGTATAACGCATAATGTGCAACATCCTTATGAAACATTTGCAACATACCTCTAACAAATCTAAAACATTTGAAATGTATGATTGAACATGCATCGTATCTCGATACGGCATCCTCCGCCATTTGCATCGGGGTGCCGCAGTCATAGCAAGAGGCGAGGCCAGAGGGCTCCCGCACCAGGGCCCGACGCTTCTCCTTGTGCGGCGGCCTTAGTGGCTACCTGGCATTTGAGGGAGCAGTCGCCACGCGTGGGCGCGGCAATGTCCGCACCGTCAGGCGAAGCGGGCTACAGAGCAGAAGCAGCGGGGAGGCAAGGTGGAGCAGGAGAAGGAGCAGCGCGGGGTGACCATCGACGGTGGAGCGGGCCGCAGAGCAGGAGTAGCAGGGCGACCGATGGAGTAGGAGCAGGCAGGGTGACCGTGACCGTCGATGCGTGGAGCAGAGCGAAGCATGCCTCTCGTCTCCTTGTCCTTTCCTTATCCCACCGGTGCAACAGAAGAGACGGACGCGGATATCGTAATAAAAGCAACACGCATGACTCTCACACATGAAAATTAGGGAGTTCATGGAGCGTTGAAACGTCAGAGGATAGACATATGCAGCATTGACTGCGTCATTTTTTTTAGTAATGACTGCGTCTAAATTCTGGAGTCATCTAACCCCGAAATACAGGAGGTGCCCCAAAAAATAAAATCATGAGCAGATCAGTGAGGAACGTATGTAGTTTTAGCAGCAAACATTATTAAGACTATTCGATTATTGTATCAAGTTACATCTTACATGGCAAGCATACAAATTCAAAAGAAAATGGTGTCAAGACTTGCATTGTGAGCAAATGATTACATCACACATACGATGAACCAAATGCTTGCTCCATGCATAATTTTACATAGAGCCCAGAAATGGATGCGGGAGGGAGGGTTTGGGTGTCCACCCAAATGAGCTTGGCATAGAACCCCTAGAAATGGGTATGGGAGGGAGGATTTAGGTGTCCACCCAAGTTTGAGGGCTCTAGTAGGGCCCTGTTGCACCTCTGTTTTTGACCTAGCCATCCATATTTAGCTACGGGCTCAAGTAGAGGTCCTGCTGCTGCTGGAATTGTTGTAATGCAACTGGAAAACACATAGTTCTATCAAGTTACAAGGTAGGCATACATACAGATTCAAAATACAATGGTGTCAAGACTTGCACTGAGAGCTAGCAAATGATTGCATCGCACGATAGATGAACCAAATGCTTGCACCATGCATAATTTTACAGCACAAAATAAAAATCTTATTTGGTCGCCTATATATAATTAACAAGCGGCATTAATAATGAACTCCCTTCCCTTCGTCGTCCCAAAACAAAAATATATGATAAGATCAGCTATAGATAGAGCCTAGAGGCCGAGGAGCTGGGTGTTCTCCCAGAGCGTCTTGGCGGAGCGGCGGAGCCTCCTGGTCTCCTCGTCGGTGAGCTCCATGTCGGCGACGCCGAGTACACCGGCACGACCGAGCCTGGCGGGCAGGCTGAGGAACACCTCGTGGTCGTCGGGGATGCCGTGGAAACCCGCGGCGAGCACGGACACCGGGTGGATGCGGCGCTGGTCGCGGAGGAGCGACGACACGAGGCTGGCCACCGAGTAGCCGATGGCCCACGACGTGTATCCCTTGAGCCCGATCACCTCGTAGGCGCTGTCGACGACGGCGCGGCGGATGCCCTCCAGCGCCTCCTCGCCGAAGCTGCTGTGGCTCTCCTGCAGCGACTTGAGGACCGGCATCCCGGCCACGCTCAGCGTCGACCACACCGCCACCGAGCTGTCGCCGTGCTCGCCCACCATGTACGCGTTCACGTCCTGCGCGTTCACGTCCAGGTGCTCGGCGAGGAGGAACCTGAACCTGGAGGAGTCCAGGTTGGTTCCCGACCCGATGACGCGGCTCACGGGGAACCCCGACAGCTTCCAGGCCACGTAGGTCAGCACGTCCACTGGGTTGGAGACGATCAGCAGGATGGCGTCGGGGGACTGCTCCGCCAGCGCCGGCACGATCTTGCGGAACAACGCCACGTTGCGCTGGAGGAGGTTCAGCCTCGTCTCCCCCGGGATCTGCCGCGCGCCCGCGGTCACGATGGCCAGGTCGGAGCCCCTGGTGACGGACATGTCGGTGTCGGACACCAGGTGCGTGCGCGGCAGGAACGCCGCCGCGTGCTGCAGGTCCAGCATCTCGCCGCGGAGCTTGTCCGGGAGCGCGTCCACCAGCGCGATCTCGTCGGCGAGGTCACGCGTCAGGATGGTCTGCGCGATGGCCATCCCCACGTTGCCCGCGCCGATGACCGACACCTTGGTCAGCCTCCGCCGGTGGTGCGACGTCGGCGTGGAGTCCATGCCGTCGGACACCGGGCGGAAGAAGCCCGAGGAGGCGCCGTTGGCGTCGAAGCCGAGCTCGGAGAGCGACGTGGCCTTCTTCATCTTGCTTACTTGCCTGCTGAGGCACTGCTGCTGCGACGTACTAGTTGGAGCAGCGGGAAGTGTTTGTGGGCGAGATATGATCGACGCTGTACGGTGAGATGATAAGGGCTGCTATTTGTAAGCTACTACTACTAATTAACTAAGCCCCCCTGAAACCGAAACCAGCCGGTTTCAGCTTAACTCTGCGTCTTCTTGGTCGATCTACGACTACTAGAGGTTCGGGTGTTCCAAGGACGTCTGTCACTCGAGTGTCAGGTCTCCTTAAAACACGCGATTCCAACCAACAACAATAATCGAGTGTCGGATCCCATCCAAACACTCGATTTCTATGACCACTCGATCAAGATCTATAGATTACAAATAAAATATATCAAATAAATGTTAAAATTAAATAATAAAATAAAAAAATTTACCAGATAATTACTATGAAGTGCAAATTGGAAGAAATTCAAAGAAAAAGCAAATAAATATGCAAACAACAAATAAAAAAATGCAAAAAAAAAACCGGACTATTTCTATGGAAGCTAAATTGGAAGATTTCGAAGGAGAACCAAATCAAACGTACAGACAACAAAAAAAAGGGTCAAAAAATGATCAGATAAGTGTTTGGATAATTCTGACCATTCTCATTTACGAATAATCAATTAACATCAATTGAACATATAACTTATACCTAAACAGAAGTAGTAAAATATGATTCAATAAGATGTAATCCGCTCCTACTAGAGAAATAAAACTGAATGCATACGTACGAACATGATAGGGGCTAACGGCTGCTATTTGTACGCAACGCGGGGCGGAGTGGCCGGGGCCAGCAGTCGCATGATGTGCTGTGCTGCCCTGCCAGTTTGTGCCCTAGCCGGCAGTGTTGTCATATGCATCAAGCCGTCAGTGATGTCTTTAACAACACTGTCCGTTTATAGCTCAACCCGACAACTCAAGGCCGATAGGGCAGATCATTTACTTGACCAGATATGTTTTTTTCTGGCATCTCATTTTTTCTTGGAGCAATTTCCTTATTATACCTAACAACTAATCGAAGCCTTTATCGCTCAATCCGTTTGTAGATTTGAACTCTAACAGCATTATGTCGGCTTTCAGTTTGCTCACCGGACAATCCTTATACAATGGTGTTTTGCTATCTTGTCTTATTTTCTCTAGCTTTCTCAGTTGTCTATCACTAAGAAATCCGCTCTCTACATTACGTACCAGCTGAGAAATACCATCGTCTT